AATATACTAATATATTAAAAATAAAATAATATACTAAAAACGTTTTCGTAGCTAGTCACAATATGAAATAATATGAAACCTGCGGAAAATGGGTATAACTGTAACTATGTTAATTGAAGGGGTGGCGTAAGGGTTTCAACCATGAATAAAAGTCTCCCCAAAAACCAAAGCACTGTTCTATTTGACCACTTACTACAACATTGATTGCTTTCGGCTCTTCCGTGTACATCGTACTGCCGTTCGTTCTTGCGTATCTGGAACGGCATGTCGCTCGTCCGTCCTAACAACTATACCCAACATACCCCACTTGTGAAAAGGCGAAATGTTGGAGCATTGAATATGGTAATTGGTTGCTAAGTTTTAAGTAATCTTTAATCAATCGCAATCTCTAAAGTAAGTTTCTTGAAGCTTAATTTACCATGCAAGTCCTTCACCGGTCAAAAATGTTTAATATACGCAGTGTTGAAAATAATTAAGATTCAATATAGGTAAAGGAAAATCTGATTGAAACTACAATCAAATTTTCTCTATATTAAATATTTATTTCCAGTGCTATTTCACTTGAAGGCACCTGCAGATACTTGATCATTTATCATTGTTTTCGAAAGTTCAAACAAACACTAGACCTTAAATGTTATCGCTGATGAAAATGATTAATTTTTACTGTATGAAAGCTACGCCAATCACGGTAAAACATCAAAATCTTCTATTAACATTTCACGCACTTGTTTGATAAAAATAGTGTGTCATCACGAATGTTTCAATGCGCAATGGTGCTTTTTCACAAGTGTCTAACATATCACCGAGAGTTCCTAGACTATATTAGAGCGAACTTTTACTTCAGTTATTTTTAGTACTTTCTGGGCAAACTTTCGAGCTAAAATGACAAACACAAACACAAATTATTTTTAAAATAACTCCATATTGCGTGGCAAAATTAGTTTTTCCTAGTCCGTGCTTTAAAATACCCACATATGTACGCACCAACTTTGCATAAAGTAGTAGAGTTCGCCAAACAGAATACCGGGTTTATGACATAATTCTGTATTTAACATTAGTAAATGTTTATGATGGTTTTACCGCAGGCCTACCTCACTTAGGTTTCCCTTTGTAATCCTCAATAAATAGATTCGCAATTCCACAATGACGTTTCAGAACTTCGCGCATAGAAATGCTGATTTGTGTAGAATTTGATCTGTGAGATTCCCCTATTTTTATTAGTAAATGCAGTGAAAAATTCTAATTAATTCTATTGGCCCAGAACTAAATTTCGACGAGGTGTTGTTTCTTCTTAAACTGGGTTTCAGCTGTCACCATATCAGTTTTAATGGATTAAAATTGCAGTGGTGTGGTGGAAGACGGACAACGGAAAATATTTTAGAGTCACTACGTTAAACCCTTGGAAATCAGTTTAAGCTTTCCGTGTGTACGTGTGTGTGTGTGTGTGTGTGTGTGTGTGTGTGTGTGTGTGTGTGTGTGTGTGTGTGTGTGTGCGTGTATCTGTTTTTGTAATATAGGGTATCAACCTATCTAATGGGCAAATTCAATTTGAAATCGAGTTGAGTTTAGAAAGAAAATTTCTCTACTCTTAAAATACTACAGTCCGCACGGTATAGTTCTTGTCGGCTAACATCTTAAATACGGCCCTGGCTTGTGGTACACGTGCTGAAAAAATAGTCCCTTCCGTTTTACAACAGGCGGGTCTTAAACTCATTCCGAAGCCAAAATCATAAAAGGTTGTAAAAACTGGGAAACTGGGAAACTGGGAAAAGTATACACGATGGAGGTCAACTAAGTCCAACTGGACCACCCGCAGGCAGACCGAGATTCGAAGAAACGATGTGTAAGTTGATTAAATCGTACCAACAATGACACTCGAAAATAAGGAATTTTTCAAACAAGTTGCCCATAACAGTACCACTTCTAGGCAGGCTTCTGCAGAAAGAAACGCCTTTTTAAAGAAGACTTTTTGACATGCGAATTCAAAATCTGGCGCTTATTAACGGCGTTTATTCTATTTGGATTCTGTCCCAGTAGAATCCTGGAAAGGCATTCGAGATGCTACGAAACGGATCAACTGTTGTATTTCAGTAACCTACAACCCATCCATTTAAAATGAAAACTGTATGCTTGTCAATATCTGCACTCCTTCGCGGAATGTAAATGATCAACATAACTTGAATTTTATTCTCATTTGTAGATCATAGACCAACTGCCCGTCATGGTATATTTCTACGTGCATGCATTTGAAACAGATTATGAAAACTACGACGGGTTACAGCTTAGGGATTTACGCTTTTTTATCAACAAAAAATGATGGAGGTGATCCCGGGAAAGTGACAATAATTACTCAAAGCGCTGGGGACCAATATAATTTACATAAACACTTAAAAGTGTTTTCGGTTATTAGTGATGTAAAGAGCAGCTAGCTATGTTTGAAAGTGGAGGATGTTCGCTGATAGGCCTCGGACTGATGCGAAATTTAATCCTTACGCAGCTGCCAAGTGATTAAATATCTTCATCACAGAACAAAATACCACTGAAGATATAAAAAAAATCTTAAAAGTCAAACTGTCGACACTTTAAAAGGTCTTTTGAATATAGAAAAAGTTTTGGTGGGTATAGAATTTGGCTTATTTTAGTCTTCACGTCCACTTTTCCTATCCGTGAATTCTGCCAAGTAACTGAAATTACACGTATCACCTATCCATTGCGGTATTAAAGCTGTCAATAGCCTCCAGTCCTAAAGTATTATTGTGTTAGACTTTTCAAATCGTCACACTGAGGGTTCTGAGCAAGTACTAAATTTTCTAGAAAGCTTGCTCAGAACACCGGTATTTTTTTTATATTTAGCAGACGAAAATTGTGTTCGAAGTACAAAGTAATGATGCTTACGTAACTCAACTTCTCGCTATTGGAATTTGGGGATCTTATGCTAGGAAATGTTAATGGTGAATTCCTTGCTAGTGGATATGGCAATAATTTTTTGACATATTCGTTAACGTTACACTCCAATTGGAATTGTTTTAGGTCTAACTCTCTAATTCGTCCTGCCCTGAAACAGACGAACTCGCTTATATTTTTGATATTGCTGCCATAATACTAAAAACCTATGATGACGAGGCAATAAATCGTTAGGTTATGGACCAACTCTGCAAATCCAACGTAACGTAAATTGGAACCAAAAAATAAAGCGAATGCAAAAAAAGAGAAATAACATAACCACAAATTACGAATATCCAGTCTCTCGATCACACATCAAGCAAAACTGAATAAAAAGACTAGCCAGTTAACATTTTAAAGGATTTTTAATTTTACCTAACAATAACCACACAACACAATAAAATTATATCCATTTTACTTATAGTCCGATCAATAATTCATAATAAACAGAAAAGTAAATTTAGTTTTAAAAAATTATAACATTATATCAAGAGGGCTTGTCGATTTCTACTTCCATATTTTCAGCAATTGGAAATTTAAAATTGTTGAAATTGCCATCCAAAATAATATATAATGCAAGGCAACGCAAGATATTTTGGGAATTATATTATCCACGTCGCTGTTTTTTCTTCAATTTAAAATTATTTTTGGTATTCCCATTGAATACAAAATGTTGATTTTTTGCAGTCTGTTTTCTTTTCAGATTATTGTTTAGCTTTACACCCTTCAATTTAATATTGCAAGAACAGCAACGAGGTAATTATCCAAGAGCAAATTGAATCGAATTGATCATTTTTATGTTATCTGCCTGAATCCTATTGTCATTATATTTGGCAGCATCAAAATCTTAGGAAAGCATATTTATAAAAGTACAATTCAAAACACCATAAATCGTCAAATTTGACGTAGTAGGCGCCTCGGGGACTGTAATATAAATTTTGTCGAACCAATAACATCGTGTCAAACTGTTTGAAACGTTATAATTTAAATCAAAGGTCCGAAATACTCAAAACTCTAATGAACTTTGACTTTTGTCAATCCTGACGGTCATATCAGTGAACGTATTCGTGTTGTTTTGCAAAATGTACCCAAAGCTAACGGTCGCAGAGAAAGTATAGTATGCAACACGTTTGTTAAACTTTTGCCTTTTACCTCACTTGTTGCGTAGTAAAACTATTTTCTACACCCTACTGTAAAATACCTAATTATCTAGCGTGCGGAAAGTGCCAATTTACCGTGACAGCTTCGTTTCCCACGAACCCGAGCCACTTCGGGCACTTCCGGGATATTACGCGGATGTTTTCGGAAATTTTACCGCACGGCTTGAATTTTGACATTTGTACCCAAAAAGCAATGATCGTAGAAAAAGTATTATATGCAACATGTTTGGAAAACTTAATTAAGCTGCGCTTCAATCCGCTCGTGATAAATAAACTCGTGATTCAAATGCCGTTTACCACACTTGCATGTGCTTAATATACTATTAACTCTAGGCGTGCCTGTAGCCAATAACTATTCGTTTCTCGATTTCTTTAGTGCACTTAGTCGGGCCTTCAAAACAGAGACTGGCTAAATGATTCTTATTTTCATTGATTCCTTCTTTTACTGTTGTGATTGGGTGTTTAACTAATTAAGAAAATCCAAATTAGCTAGTTATGTGAAATGTTATTTTGTACAAAAACGAAAAATTAAAGTGTTCATTTTTCCGAAAATGGTATCCAAACTTAACGGCAAATACGCTTAAGTAGGGACATTCTTAAATGAATAAATTCAATACTATCGAGTTGACACGAGGATGCCACCTGTTTAGTGTTTTTTTTCCCTCAGCTAATACTTCTTTAGACTTGCAGGTTGCGGTCTATTCTTGGTGTTGGGTTTCAAGGTATTCTCTATTAATATTTTAATATTTTTCTATAGTTTTCTACATGATAAGTAGCTTAATCCAGATTAACGTCCTTAAATTCGGTTATGGGTATAAGAAATTTTCAAATGAAACAGTTACCTACTTCGAATGGAAAGAACAGAAAATTCATCTGAGTAAAAATTCAATTGGCTGTATTAAACTTATTTTTCAGGATAATATATAATATATATGTTATATGCTGTTTCAAAATCAGAAGCCTGCGAATGGTTGCTGACCATATTTATAGAAAACTTCATTCCACATTGCCATTTCTTTAGCCTTTTTACCGGGCTTCACCTCGAGAGTGCTATCTATATCCAGGTAAGGAATATTTGAGCCCGAAACTTGAGGCCATGTTACATTCAGGAGCGGATCCGTCTCATCGGGAGTCGGATTCCTAAAAAAAGACCCCGCTATTGTCAAAACGGATTTAGAAGAACGTAACCTACAATGTCTTTGCAAAGTTGGTCCATAGTCTGGCCATTCTCCTTCTAGTAAGAAACTCCTCCTCTGTGGTTAATTGAAACAAGGGGAAGTCAACGAGATAAATTATATCTTCTCCGTGTCCCGTTTTCCCAGCGCCATCAACTGTTACATGGAAGTGACCTACTGGCCCGGAATACGAAAACTGGTAAAAATATACCGGAGTGTAATTGGATTGAAGTTCCGCTTGTTTGAGCGCCGGTCTTACAAAATAATTGTCACTAGTAAACTGAAAATCATTTCCGATATACGCAAACGTATCACTTAAACACTGTATTAAAACGATTACCAAAGGAAGAAAAATTGTTATTTTTTAGTTGTTGTCGAAAGCAGTACAACAATACTTATAGTTACCTCAACAAATGACGCCAAATTTAAATGAAATGGTTGATTATTGGTGTAGGTTTGTTTGATCAAACCTGCAACTTCTCTCAAATCGGTACCGGACAAAAGCCTGAGGCTATAGGGTATCAACAACCCCTGGTTTAAATCAAAAATAAGTGCAGCTGCTATAAGTTCGGGCCACACAACTGAAACGATGGTATAAATTTGATGAGTTGAAAATTAATATTTGTCACTACGAACGTGCACCGAATGTGAGTGTTTCACCGGCAGTTGTTCCTATCATGAGAGGTACTTGGTTAAAGTTGCCCGATTCGATCAACCCGAATTGAAGATCCGTTACATACGCATTCTCGTCTTCAACTTCTAGAACTGGTCCCGTCTATAACGGTATGTACTCTACCTTATGTTGGTATAATTCGAAATTGCGACACACTTACTTTCGGATTTGCATTGTAAGCATTAGTCAAAACACTTGCCGATTGACTCTGCAGGAAATCTCTGATTTCTTCGCTATCCTGGGAAATAGACGAATTTAAAGATCTGGCAATGTCGTACGCAACTTGCTTCGGATCAGGTTGAGATGTGGAAGCCAAACTGGATAGCGAACAACCGCTTTGGCAAATCGCAGCTCTATATAATCCTGCCGATTTTTTGTTAGCGATATGTGCTCCCACGGACATACCACCTGCGCTTGCACCAAATATCGTCACTTTGTCTGGATCGCCACCAAAAAATTCAATGTTTTTCTGGGTCCAATTCATGGCCAAGAGTTGGTCCTTAAGTCCAGCGTTACCCAAAATCACGCTGTCATTTGTACTGAGGAAACCATACAGACCAACACAATGACGTCTTCTTCTACAAGAGGATAGGGGTCCGACACACTGGCGGTAGCGCATCCGGTTGAAAATGAGCCTCCATATACCGACAACATTACTGGTAGCTTCTCTGTTAACTGGCAAGACAAGATTTTCATTCGAAAGAGCAAAACTGGAAGACTATTATTAATCAAATTTACATCACTCCTCTAACATATAGTTCCACTACAAGCCCCAACAAGCTTTGATACTTCAATAAAGCAAGAGCTAAAACTTTACTAAACTATTTGCTACAAATAATTTATTTCAAAAAATTTATGGAAATTTTTATTTTCGATGAAAATTCGCAGTAATTTATGAATATATACAATCATATTTGTTATTGATATAACTTTATTAGTTGATATCCTAACCTTGTTATATTCACAGTTTAAAAAAGTTTTTATCTATCCGGGGTTACGAAAATGAATTGCTGGAGTGTTTCGCACCGAGGAAATGAGACCAAAAAGCGTAACGATAGGAAAAGAACTTTTTCTGAAATTGTAACTTTCGTTGTTACTTTTATATTCATTTTTCAAAATAGACATTTGAAACTTTGAGTTTTTAGAGAAAAGTTACATTAAAAAGCGACTTACAATTCGCGGAGGCGTGTAAACATTAACATAGAGGCAGTCCTCACTTTGCTGGGGCTCATCTAGAGCAAGAGTCATCGATATGCAACAACTTTTGTACTCCGTAGCATCTAGAATTCCGTCCCATGGTTCGTTTGGCACTGGAGCCTGCCATGATTTAGAAAATCTTACATTCAAACCATTAAAATTTCTCTCAGATATTTACATGGAACCGTAAATTTCCTAGTGGAGGCTTTGCAAATGGAATCCCTCGATAAGAGTAGTATGTGTAGTTGTCGGTTGTGGTCTCGACCCCACGAATTGTGCCGTCCGGAAGATCGATCAAAAGATCAGAATGCTGAAAAATATATTGAGCATAAGCATACATATACATAAGTGTGCATAGAATGTCCAATTTTCAATGTATTTGAAGGGTGAATTTTTTAGTTTGTTTATGCAAGAATTTTGGAAACTCGTAATTTTTTGAATGTAAGCAAATTTGAATTATTTAGCTTTTCAAAAGAGGCCAAGCAGAGTAAATTAAAACAACAATCAATATGGATGACATTGTTTTTAGAAAAAAAAAATGTAGCTTTTTTAATTTATCGAATTTTATATTGATCTTTTGTACATTATGGATACATAAAGACACAAAACAAATTTTAACAACGATGTTCGGAATATTTTTTAATTTTTATCAACGCAGTACTCAAACTGTGTTGGTTTGAAAATAACTTTTTTTATTATATAGTTACTTAGTTTTTGAATAAAAATAGTTAACTCACCACAAACGATACTAATAATATGCCTAGTAGAAGTTGGCTCTGCATCTTGACTTTCTCGGTACTGAATTATTCCTTCAAATTTTCTCCATTTATACAAAACAACGACGCTTGAAAACGATATCTAATTACTTATCTATATAAAATCAGTTAATATATAGATTCAATAACTGTGGTTTTGTTGGCTATTTATAATGTCGCGACACTACTGTCTTATCAATATGATTTCGGATATGATACTGTACAGCTTTACATATCGAATGAAACAAACACAATCGTCACGTGGCGAAAGCATCCTACAGTCTTGTACTCTCACCACTTTGTTTCTTTGTTGCATTTCAGTTGATTACTTGCAGAACCAGTCATTTCAGTAAGTTTAAAATTTAAGCTCAGCCCTTAGTGAAAGAAAACAGATATACATTACTTTTATTTAATTTCGGAATGTGTTTGAAAGGTTCACTGGGTTTTCCGTAAATATTTAAAATTAATTTGTCTTGAGATCTTTTCTTTGACAGTTGAAAGCGCATGATCTTTTACGTACATCCTATATAATAAGGTTTTGAAAGTAAATCTTGATTATCTGTAACTAGAGATATATACTTCAAATGATTCTTTCCATAAACAACGATAACGGATAATGGATTTTGGATAATGGATATCAAATAGTGTGGAGGTTTTCAAAATGTTTTAAATTCAATGCAAACCAAAATAATAATAATATATATTCATATTATATTTTGAAACTCTGGTAGCTGCTTTTATTTTCATCTGGGGGTGGGCATAATGAACTTACAGGAGGACGAAGTCAAGTATGACATATGCACGCTCGACGCAGGGAGAGCATTCATAATACGATATGACTTGAAAATATAGAAACTAATCTGCTGATTTTCAATGTGATCCGAAAATTTTTGTTTGAGCTAAAATGTTAGCGATTTTCTTCGATTTATAATGTATAGATTTAGAAAAACATAACAATATACACTTATTGGCAAAATGAAATTTGTTTGGTATTTCCTAATCACAAAAATGTAGTGTGTAGTAGAGAATACTATGTGATATTTTTTTAAAGCTGTATTGGTGCGGTTCAACAAAATCGTCCAATAGAAACACGAATCCGGAAAAGTATATTTATGGATACATAGTAAGGAAAATGTGCGTTTAATATTTTTTTCTAATGTTTATTTTGATATTTTTGGTTAGATTATTTGTGTTCCATTTGGATAGTAATACGTAAAATGGGATGTGTCTGTAATGTCATTTTAATTTAAGGATGTTGTGTTCCGTTTTAAATAACCTACCTCATTTTTTGTTGAAAAATCAAACCAAATACTCTGCTTATTTTTGGTACAAAATTGGACACTCTCCCATATTATCCTAGTTTGACATTTATCGTTATCTCTTGTAAGCCACTTTAACACACTTTAAATATTGTTTGGAAAGATATTTTTCATTTTTGTCTTACGGATGATTCTTATCTATGGTAATGTTATTTTTTTCGAACGGAATCAATATGCATTTTTGAAATATTTCCGTATTAGGACACAATTCTTATCAAAATAGAGTACTAAATGAGTTAAACGTGGCTCATAATAAAATACCTCATCCTGTACATACATCGACCGCAAACAAAACAAAACGAATTGAATAAATTAGGTATAAAAGTAATGGAGATAAACGGTGCTGTAAATAATATCCCGGCGTTCTCCCGAGCATTTTTAAAACAAAATGTTAAACTAGGATAATATAGGAGAATTAGGATATTTACAATATAAACTTAAAAAAAACTTGAATACAGAGGAATATAGGAGAGTGCTCAATTCTGTATAAAAATAAGCAGAGTATTTGGTTTGATTTTTCAACAAAAAATGAGTTAGGTTATTCAAAACGAATGCCTATGGCACACAACTTTCTTACAGTAAAATTACATTACAGACACATCCCATTTTACGTATTACTAGCCAAATGGAACACAAAAACAAAAATCAAACGTAGATTTTGCTTACTATGCATCGATGAATATATGGAGTCGTATTTCTACTGGATGATTTTGTTGAACCGCGCCAGTACAGCTTGAACAAGAAATATCACATAATATACTCTACCACACACTACATTCCTGTGATTAGAAAATACCAAAAAAATTTCATTTTGCTAATAAGTCTATATTGTTATGTTTTTCTAAATCTATACATTATAAATCGCTAACATTTTAGCTCAAACAAAAATTTTTAGATCACATTGAAAATCAGCAGATTAGTTTATAGATTTTCGAAGTCATTTCGTATTATGTCGAGGGTGCATATGTCATACTTGACTTCGTCCTCCTGTAAGTTCATTATGCCCACCCCCAGACGAAAATAAAAGCAGCTATCAGAGTTCCAAAATCTAGTATGAATACATATTATTATTAATCTTTTTTGGTTTGCATTGAATTAAAAACATTTTGAAAACCTTCACAGTATCTGATATTCGTTAGATGCGAGATGCGATAAAAAGTGCGATGAAAATTCATTATCCGTTATCGTTGTTTACGGAAAGAATCGTTTAAAATATGTATCTCTAGTTACAGATAATCAAGATCTACTTTCAAAATGTAATTATATAGGATGTACGTAAAAAATCATGCGCTTCAACTGTCAAATAAAAGATTTCAAGGAATATTAATTTTAAATATTTACCGAAAACGCAGTGAACCTTCCAAACACATTCTGATATTAAATAAAAGGAATGAATATCTGTGGTCATACCCTAAGGGCTAAGCTTAAATTTTAAACTCACTGAAATGACTAGTTCTGCCTTTAGAAAGCAACAACGTCTCTAAAAACTTGCAAGTAATCAACTGAAATGCAGTAAAGAAACAAGGTGGTGGGAGTACATAACTATAGAATGCTTTCGCCCCGTGGCGATTATTTTTGTTTTTTTATATATGTAAAGCTGTACAGTATTATATCCGAATTCATATTGATAAGACAGTAGTGTTGTGACATTATAAATAGCCAACAAAACGACAGTTATTATGATTGACTGATTTTATATAGATAAGTAATTACATGCGTCGTCATTTTGTGTAAATGGAGAAAATTTTAAACAATAATCCAATATCGAGATGCTACTAGACGTATTATTGGTATCATTTGCGGTGAGTTTACTATTTTTACTCAAAAACTAAGTAATTATATATATAACCAACACACTTTGAATGTAAGATTTTCTAAATCATCGGAGCCTCCAGTGCCAAACGAACAATGGGACGCAATTCTAGTTGTTGCATATCGATGACTCTTGCTCTAGATGAGCCCCAGCAAAGTGAGGACTGCTTCTATGTTATTGTTTACATCCCTCCGCGAAATGTAACTCGCTTTTTAACGTAACTTTTCCGTATAAACTCAAAGTTTCAAATGTCTATTTCGAAAAATGAATATAAAAGTAACAACGAAAATTTTTCAGAATTTTCGGAATAAGTTCTCTTACTATCGTTGCCGGTTTGTGGTCTCATTTTCTCGGTGCGAATAGCACTCCAAGAATTCATTTTTGTAACCACGGATAGATGAAAACTTTTTTTAAACTGTGAATATAACAAGGCTAGGATATCAACTAATAAGGCTATATCAATAACAAATATAATTGTATATATTCATGAATTACTTCTGTCGAAAATAAAAATTTTCATACATTTTTTTAAATAACTTATTTGTAGCTTTGCTGAAGTATCAAAGCTTGTTTGGGCCTGTAGTGGAATTATATGTTAGAGGAGTGGTTTAAATTCGGGTAATAATAGCCTTACAGTTTTGCTCTTTCGAATGAAAATCTTGTCTTGCCAGATAACAGATGTGCTACTACCAGTGCGTCGGACCCCTATCCTGTTGTAGAAGAAGACGTCATTCTGGTTACATTCGCTTACCGCGTTGGTCTGTATGGTTTCCTCAGTACCAATGACAGCGTGATTTTGGGTAACGTTGGATTTAAGGACCAACTCTTGGCAATGAAGTGGACCCAGAAAAACATTGACAAACAATTTACTACGTCAAATGTTACGTTCTATGGTGTTTTGAATTGAACTTGTACTATTGTACTATCCTAAGATTTTGATGCTGCCAAATATAATGACAATAGGATTCAGGCAGATAACATAAAAATGATCAATTCGAATCAATTCGCTCTTGGATAATTACCTCGTTGCTGTTCTTGCGGTATTAAATTGAAGTGTGTAAAGCTAAACAGTAATCTGAAAAAAAAAACAGACTGCAAAAAATCTACATTCTGTATTCACTGGGACTACCAAAAATAATTTTGAATTGAAGAAAAAACAGCGACGTGGATAATATGTTTCCCAAAATATCTTGCGTCGCCTTGCATTTTCATTGAACTAACTTATTTATAATATTTTGGATGGCAATTTCAACAATTTTAAATTTCCAATTGCCGTTAATATGGAAGTAGAAATCGACAAGATGGCTTATTGATATAATGTTACAATTTTTTAAAACTAAATTTACTTTTCTGTTTTTTATGAAGTATTGATTGGATTATAACTAAAATGGATATAATTTTATTGTGTTGTGTGGTTATTGTTCGGTAAAATTAAAAATCATTTAAAATGTTTGTTTCCCTATATATAACCCATCCCACGTTGTTAACTGGCTAGTCTTTTTATTCAGTTTTGCTTGATGAGTGTTGCCAATATCGAGGCACTGGATATTCGTAATTTGTGGTTATGTTATTTTTCTTTTGTTGCATTCGCTCTATTTTTTGGTTCCAATTTAGCTGTTACATTGGCTTTGCAAAGTTGGTCCACAATCTGACGATTCATTGTCTCGTAGGTTCTTAGTATTATGGCAGCAATATCAAAAATATAAGCGAGTTCGTCGCTATGCGCACCTCTGCTGTCCTGAGTGAAATGACAAATTTGACCTTAAAATCGTTTTAAATACAAACGGTTGTACTGATATCTGGTATAATATATAATAAATATAATTTACGCTGGAAGGAATAGTCTGTAAACATCAACAATGCTATTATGCATCGGGGGATTTACTAGCCAATGCAGCTGCCTCGTTTTCCGTTTGCTGTTATGACACATCGTCGAATTTGGGGGTTCAGCGTAAG